GAGTTACCGTTGTCGGGTCAAATTATCTCTACTAACATTTGAGAGCATGCATTTTCTTTTAAGAATTCTTAAGTTACCCTTGTCTAATTTTTGAAAAGAGGAACAATGAGGGGCATTAAAGTAATTTGGCCTATAAGGCCTCACCCAAATAATGAGAATATCCCTAAGTTGTTCCGAATTACAAATAAGGAACATGTTATACAAATAAGGAACACATTATTCTATATTAGTAATACATAACGATTAGGGGTATTTTTATCATTTTATACATGTAATGCATTTTAAGTGAATAATGATGAAAATATCCCCAATTTGCATTACAAATACTGAACAAAGCCTTCTTTATTTGTAATGCAGACCAACTAGGGATATTCCTATTATTTAAGGGGAAAGGTTTGTATAGAGCCGAGGCTCTCAACAATCAAATTAGCCCACCTCAAAAATTTCACTAGAAGAGGTTGTTTTGATGCCCAAATATCTTCAAATTGATTATCTCGACATCAAGATGCATGGACATGAGAAAAAAATGGATTACAATTTTTGGAAATAGTGCATCTTGTATTGCATTTTCGGACCGTCAATTTTCAAGATTTTATAGATCTGATAGCTATACACTATTTTTGAAGATTGAAATTTTACAATTAAAGAAAAAAATATATTTTAAGGCTATCACAAAGATTTCCAATATTGACTTTGATTGTTTAGAGCCTCGGCTCTATACAAACCATACCCTTATTTAAGTGATGCCTCTTCAAGTTAAATCACTAAATTGTCCTTCATTATTCCTTATTTCAAATACTGGATAAGGTTATATGGAGCCTAGTCTATATGATCGCTTAAGGAGCAATGTTGACTACTTTGCCTCTCAAGTTTGAAATGTTACACATGCATCTCAAAAATTATAAAGAAAGGTTAGTTCGATGTTGGAAAATTCTCTAATAGATCAGCTCGACCTCGACATAAATGGATATGTAAAAAAAAAAACGATTTCAAGCCATAGGAATAGTACATCTTGTAATACATTATCTGGACCGTCAGGTTTCAAGTATTTATATATCTACTTGAATTGCACCATTTTTGGAACTTTAAATATCACAAATTAGGGTGCAAATATAATTTCTTGCCATCACAAAAGTTGTGAATATCGAAACTACATTTTCCCGTAGGGTTCAACGGGCCTTATTTTCATTGTTTAACGTCAGGAGTTAACATTATACTATTAATGTAAGGCACACCCGCACCGAAAAAGAATAACTTTGGATAATCATCTAAACACACATATATATATATATATATAACACAAACTTATTACTAAAATCGTATACATAGGGTCTGTTTGATAATAGGAAGCAAGAACATGAAGTGTAAATTAGAAGTTACTAAAGAACTCTAAATTAAAAGTTACTTAAGAAGTTAATGGTTTCTTTGTTTGATAACCTCCCTAGGAAGTTAATAAGTTCATAGTTTCTGTGTTTGATAACTCTTGAGATATATGGCAAATATCTTATATTTATAT